GCAAGGGGTGGTCTCTTACCGCGGCCGCTATCCGTGACGGTCGTCCAGGGCACAGCAGGCATGGCATATTCTCGACACCATAGGGGGTGCGCAGGGGGTGGTCTCTCACCGCGGCCGCTATCCGTGACGGTCGTCCAGGGCACAGCAGGCATGGCATATTCTCGACACCATAGGGGGTGCGCAGGGGGTGGTCTCTCACCGCGGCCGCTATCCGTGACGGTCGTCCAGGGCACAGCAGGCATGGCATATTCTCGACACCATAGGGGGTGCGCAGGGGGTGGTCTCTCACCGCGGCCGCTATCCGTGACGGTCGTCCAGGGCACAGCAGGCATGGCATATTCTCGACACCATAGGGGGTGCGCAGGGGGTGGTCTCTCACCGCGGCCGCTATCCGTGACGGTCGTCCAGGGCACAGCAGGCATGGCATATTCTCGACACCATAGGGGGTGCGCAGGGGGTGGTCTCTCACCGCGGCCGCTATCCGTGACGGTCGTCCAGGGCACAGCAGGCATGGCATATTCTCGACACCATAGGGGGTGCGCAGGGGGTGGTCTCTCACCGCGGCCGCTATCCGTGACGGTCGTCCAGGGCACAGCAGGCATGGCATATTCTCGACACCATAGGGGGTGCGCAGGGGGTGGTCTCTCACCGCGGCCGCTATCCGTGACGGTCGTCCAGGGCACAGCAGGCATGGCATATTCTCGACACCATAGGGGGTGCGCAGGGGGTGGTCTCTCACCGCGGCCGCTATCCGTGACGGTCGTCCAGGGCACAGCAGGCATGGCATATTCTCGACACCATAGGGGGTGCGCAGGGGGTGGTCTCTCACCGCGGCCGGTGACGGTCGTCCAGGGCACAGCAGGCATGGCATATTCTCGGGGGGTGCGCAAGGGGTGGTCTCGCGGCCGCTATCGTGACGGTCGTGACGGTCGTCCAGGGCACAGCAGGCATGGCATATTCTCGACACCATAGGGGGGTGCGCAGGGGGTGGTCTCTCACCGCGGCCGCTATCCGTGACGGTCGTCCAGGGCACAGCAGGCATGGCATATTCTCGACAGCGTAGGGGGTGCGCAAGGGGTGGTCTCTCACCGCGGCCGCTATCCGTGACGGTCGTCCAGGGCACAGCAGGCATGGCAGATTCTCGACACCACAGGGGGTGCGCAGGGGGTGGTCTCTCACCGCGGCCGCTATCCGTGACGGTCGTCCAGGGCACAGCAGGCATGACATATTCTCGACACCATAAGGGGGTGCGCAGGGGGTGGTCTCTCACCGCGGCCGCTATCCATGACGGTCGCCCAGGGCACAGCGGTATCGGCGGGGCAACGGCCACCAACATCATTCTCACATGCTTCACTTCAGCTCTCATCTCTCCAGCCATCATAAAAGTATGTGGGGCTCCTCGGTAGCGTAATTCGTATATGGCCATCTCGGGACGCCCCGTATATGGCCATTTCGGGACGCCCCAGAAGCCTCTCGGGATGGCCAAGAGGCTTCTCGGGACGCCCAAGAAGCCTCCCGGGAAGAGGCCTCGGGAGACTCAAGGAGTCACTCGGGACGTCCAAGAAGACTCCCGCGAGACCCAAGAGCTTCCGCGAGACCCACGAAAGAAGTCTCCCGCGAGACCCAAGAGCTTCCGCGAGGCCCAAGAAAGAAACCTCCCGCGAGGCCCAAGAGGCCTCTCGGGAGGCCGACGAAGCTTTCCGGGAGGCCCATGAATCCTTTCGGGGGGCCCAAGAGGCTCTTCGGAAGACCTAGCAAAAGACCCTTGCGGGAGACCCAAGAAGCTTCGCGGAACGCCCGAGAAGCCTCCCAGGAGGTCCAAGGGGCCTCCCCGGACGTCCAAGAAGCACACCACAGCAGTTCTTCACATCAATGCTGAGGAAACGTTGGAACGCTTCGACAGACATTGAAACTAGCCTCCAGGGATTAAGCCCCTCTGCTGGGGATTTAACCTTCCGCCGAGGATTTCCTTTCTCGCCCCGGGAGGGGTCTGGGGACCGATTTTGAGCGGATTTGGCATCATCCCCCCCCTGACCGACTGTCTGGGGTCCCAACCAGAGTTCAGACCCCCCGTCCGCCTCCAACGCAGTGGCGGGCGGGTCGCGGACGGGTCGCGGGCGGGTCGCGGGCGAGGACCGCGACGACAACGCAGCAACGCAACAGCAATCCGCGCCGCGGATCCCCGCTTCAGCCACGCACCCGCGCGCACCCGGGGGCGCATGACCGTTCGGCCCCCTCGCTCTGATTTCGTCCGCGGTGGCAAGGTCTGCGTGGCGAGGATGCCGAGCTCGTCCGCGTCCTCTCCGCTGGAGGTGGTGGGCGCAGGGAGGGCCCCGAGGGGAGGGCCCCGAGAAGTCAGAGCCACTGGCTTGGCATCACTCGGATGTGCGCGTCTCCTCGGCGAGGGCCATCGGGGAGCATGTTTTGGATCAGCTCGCAAAACAGACACGTGGCACGAAGCCGAAAAATGCGGAGGGATTCGGCGTCCGAGCGATGGCGAGTTGATCAGCCCACCGCTTCTGAATGCGCTCGGAGCCCCGAAGACGGCCGAAACGGCCCCCAACATCGCTCCGAGACGGTTCAAGAGGCCCCCCGAGAGAGAGCCCCCACGACGGCCCACGAGGGCCCCGAGAGGGCCCCGAGAGGCCCCCAGGACAGCACGGAACGGTCCCGCGAGGGGCGATAGGGGAGCTCCGTCGTGCCCGGCGCTGGCCGACGGCGTGGTGCGACGCACCTGCACGAAGGGCAGCGTCGGGCCAGGCGAGGTTTGGGCGCCCGGGTCCTCGAAGAGTGCCGACGCTCGCGAGGATGGCGCCCCTCCCGGTGGGCCAGAGGCGCCTGCTGGCCCTGTGGGCCGGTCGGGGCTCGGGCGCCGTGGCCCTCGGGAAATTGGGATATTCGAGGTCGGTCGACGCTCCCCTCCCCCTCCCCCCCCCCCCCCCTCCCTCCCTCGCTCCCTCCCTCCCCCCCTCCCCCCCTTCCCCCCCCCCTCCCCCCCCTTCCCCCCCCCTCCCCCCCTCCCCCCTTCTGAGATCCTCCCCAGGCTCGCCGCTGCTTCGTTCTCAGCAGTCCACTGCCCAATGGCTTGCCCGGTTCGGCTTCCACGGCACACGCGCAGCGGGCGCCGCTGCGCCCCGAGAGCCCGTGGCCTGGCGGGGCCCAGAAACCTTGCGGCCGTGCTGCGTACGATCAGCACCACGCTTTCGTCCTTCATTATCATTTTTCCATCCTCTGCGCATGCAGGTGAAACACACGCAGCGTGCTTGCACATGCTCACAAACATGCACATGAGGGCATGACGTACGTATTACGTGCAGCAGATATGGCCTGAGCGTCACAGGCGCACTCCAGACGCCACAGACGCGGCGGAGCTGCGCTCATCTGTGGGAGCTCTTTCTCCCCAGCGGTTCAGCGGGCAATGCAGGGCACGGGTGCCGGGCCTTGTCTTTCGGCTGGTCGGACGGCAATCGGGTGGACCCAGGACCAGGATGAACCGTTCGTCGTCGTCGTCGTCGTCGTCGTCGTCGTCGTCGTCGTCGGCGGCGGCGGCGGCGGCGGCGGCGGCGGCGGCGGCGGCGGCGGCGCGCGTCGTGACCGCAATCGAGGGGGGGGGAGCGTCCGGGAACGCTATCAGAGCGTTCCAGAGCGCTTTTTGGAACGGCCGCGGCGCCCGAGGCACCTCCCCAGAAACTCCGGATCTCGGAGGTCCCCGATCTGCCCCGCTTGGATGATCCCCAGGACGTGTGTGAGCCCCAGGTGCGTTTGCTCCGCCTGGCCCGAGTCGGCCTTCCGCCTGCGCCGTCTGCAGGCTTTTCGGTAAGCAAGCACGCGTTGACGCTAACTCAGCATGCGGGACACGGGTCCTGAGGAAAACTCGGAGGCGACGATAGGGGCGAATAGCTCAGGGGAGGGCAATACATGTATCCAGGTGTGCCGATGATCTGTGTCTTCGAAAAGGCTCCCGGGCGAATACGTGTAATGGCCGCCCCTGGGCCAGTCGCCCCTATCGTCGCCGCCGAAAAACGAGTCCTGGACGCGGGGGCCTTCCCCCCCGCCGAGCTCGTCATCCTGAGTCGTTTTCTGGCAGTCCCGGGGCCCGTGGAGGGCCCCTCCTCCTCCTCCTCCTCCTCCTCCTCCTCCTCCTCCTCCTCCTCCTCCTCCTCCTCCGCCTCCGCCTCCTCCTCCGCCTCCTCCTTCTCCTCCTCCGAGGGCCCCGAGAACGGCGAAAAACCTCAGGACCCGTTTCCCTCAGGACCCGCTTCCCCCACGGCGATTAACACACTTTCTGAGGGTCATCGGCCGGTCCGATGTTGTCGCGGTCCTGGCTTCGGGAGCCTTGAAACGGGGGTCAACGCAAACGGGGGTCAGCCAGATCGCCCGATCTTGCAGGATCCTGCAGGGCCAGGGTCGCATTGACCCGGGCTTGGGTGCAGGATCCTGCAGGATCTTGCAGGATCCTTCGCGTTGACCCGGGTTTGGGTGCAGGATCTTGCAGGATCCTGCAGGATTCTGCAAGGCCTGACTGACCCGGATCTGGATTGACCCGGGTCAGCAGGTCCCTGATTGCTCTTGGCTTTGGCTTCAGCGATCCGAGGCTGCGTGCCGTGCTCGGCGCCCTCAGGCTGCCACCTTCTCCTGTGCTGAGGCCCCCTGCCTCCGCGCGTGCGGCTGGTCACGTCGTCGTCGTCGTCGTCGTCGTCGTCGTCGTCGTCGTCGTCGTCGTCGTCGTCGTCGCCATCGTCGCCATCGTCGCCATCGCCGTCGCGTCGCCGTCGCGTCGTCGTCGTCGTCGTCGTCGTCACCGTCGTCGTCGTCGTCGTCGTCGTCGTCGTCGTCGTCGTCGTCGTCGCGTCCTCGTCGCGTCGTCATCGTCGTCGTCGTCGTCGTCGTCGTCGTCGTCGTCGTCGTCGCGTCCTCGTCGGCGTCGTCGTCGTCGGCGGCGTCGTTGTCCTCGTCCTCCTCCTCCTCCGCCTCCTCCTCCTCCCGCTCGCCGCGTTCAGAGGCTCGAGCGCGCGCTCCCCCGCGGGCCGATGCACGGCTCAGGCGCGGGGGGCTGCAAGCGAGCCGAGGGCCCCGGGCTCCACCACTGGCGGCGGAGCAAGTCGGGACATCAGAGGTGGAGACGCACGGTCACCTCGGAGGAGAACTCTGGGGGCTCGGTGGCCTTCGGGGGCGCCCCTCGCCGCCACGGCCGGACGCAGCGTGGAGAGCTGGCGCGTTTGGACCCCAGGGGGGATCGGGGGGCCGAACTCGAGCTGCCGTTGTCTCAACTCGCCCTGCTCCGATCCAGTCGGACCGAGGTATGAGATCGAGGTCGGTTCGGGGAGGTGGTACCCTGCTGTTCTGCGTGTTCGTGGGATGTCCTTGTGCATCCTGGCGAGGGTGACCCTTGGATGTTCTCTTAGTTTTGGCCGACGGAGGGTCTCGTGTTCTTGAGGGATGTTCTTGTGGCCTAGGCTCGACTGTAGTCGTGTTGCCGCAGGGAACGCCAGACAGGGAACGAGGGGGCTTCACCGGCCACGGCCACGAAGAGGCTCCTCGGCCCAGGTCTGAGAAGCGGCCCGCAAGCCAGGGCCCCTCCCGAGCCCAGAGCTGTGGGTGCTGCAGCCTCTTGACCGTGGGGCAGCGTTGAGGCGTGAGGTGTTCTCACGTGGTGGAGCAGCTTTGAGGCGGGAGGTGTTCTCACGGGGGTGCAGAATCGGACGCGGTGCAGGGCAGGAGCGATACGGTATGGGATGGGTACGGTCGGGTTCGCGTGGGTCGCAGTCATGATTTGTCAGCGATGACTTTTGGTGGTCTTAACTGTTGAGGGTAATTGTTTCAAGGGTGAATCAATGAGAGTGCGAAGGACGCTGACTTTCTTTTGAATATTGTGATGGAACTTGTCAAAGGAGGTGGCGTATTGTCTTCATCGAGTGAAGCGTGTGCGTGACCCTGACCCCCCCCGTTACCTTAGGTCAAGCCCCAGCCGCCAAAGGCTTGCTGAGAATGCCCAGCAAGCGACTCAGCTCACGAGAACTCAAGGCCTGAGGGGCCATCAGATCAACTGTGGCATTGCCACCGCAGCCTCGGCCCACCAGGTCTGTGTGCGCTGTGGGCTATGACTATGTAGGGCTTTCGCTTTCAAAAGGCTGGTTAGCCTCGCCTCCCCTTGCCCTCCCTGGGCTCCAAAGTCGTCGAAACCGCTGGTGCGCAGTCTGTCCGAAGACTTCTTTGAGATCGGCGAGGTCGTTTGTGCAGCTGGTGATCTTGCCCGTCTGGTCGGATTTGCCGCCGTCGGCGGCTTCAGCATCCCCACGCGTCCGCCGATGTGATTGTTGTTCCCCCGCGCGGCCCCAGAGGTCGGGAGTCCCGGCCGCTTCCCCGAGGCCAGCTTTTCCTTGCTCGCTATTGCTTGAAATTGTTCGTGCTGAGATCGTCTGGATAATTGTGCACTGCTCGGCGTATGTGTTGGCGGCCCCACTGCGGAGAACGTGTGTTCACTCGATGTGCTGGACAAAGAAGTTCCTTCTCTGCGCGAGCAGCCCGTTTGATTCTCGTGGGCCCCGCGTCCGTCTTCGATGGCCCCCCCTGGCCCGAGCACGGGCCCGGGAGACCCGGCGACCGAACGCGAGGAGCAGCTTCCGAGTCGTAGCGGCGCGGATCCACGCCGCTGTCGGAGGCGGCCCGAGGGACATTTCTCTGGGCCTCCCAGCTGGGGTCGGAGTACAGTCGGGGTCCCGAAGAAGGAACCCTCTTCGTTGGGGAGGGGCTCCGCGTTCCTTCATCGTTTCGCAGCTGGCCTTCGGTTTTCCTTAGGTCTTCGCTATGAAGTCGAAGGCTAACTTGTGGAAAATAGGGGCCTCGTTCCTTTTTAGGGTTCCTTAGGTCAACGCCTCGACTGTAGATGAGGTCGGAGGGTCGCGCCGCATCGCCGATGCATCGGCGATGCGGCGCGATGTGGAGCTCGATTTGCTTCACGCCGACGTCGCCGATGCGTCGCCGACGTCGCCGATGCATCGCCGGTGCATCGCCGATGCATCGGCGATGCATGGCCGATGTATCGGCGATGCGGCGAGATCCTCCGACGCCATCTACTCGGACCCCATGCAGGAGGCCTCTAATGGCGGGGCCTGATTGGGCACAGCAGGAGGGGGGCGGGCGCGGTCGGGTGAGGGGGAAGCCGCGGCCGGCGGAGCACGCTGGGAGCATGTAGAGCTTGCGCGCGCGCGTGTCGGAGCAGAGGCCTGTGCAGCGGGAAGCCGACGGCGTCCGCGGAGAGGCGTCACGGCGGCTCCGGAGCCAAGACGGGAAGCGAGGAAGAGCACCCGGAGGGAAGAAAGACAACGGATGGTCGGAGACCTGGCTCGGTGCAGCGCGCCTTGGCCTCGGCTCTGCCTGCGCGGGCTCCGCGATGCCGGCGCCGAGCCGCCGCCCCCAGGGGGCGGCGCAGGTGGCACGCGTGGGCACCAGCCCCGGCGGGGGCAGCCCACCGTGCGAGGCGGGCCAGGACGCTCGCCC